TGTTCTCTGAGGGAAACCATGCCTTTTTGTAAGGCCAGAATGTGATTCCTGTCTCCCTTCTTCCCCTACCCGTTAGTATAATGAGCCATTGCCGAGCAGCAGACACCGTTGTAAAGGGCGCTTACTATATGTTGAGCTCAAATTTCACCATCTGTTCCACTTCCCTTTTTATTCTCTGGCATCTTGTAAAACATGAGACTTGTACAGGAAATAATGAAAAGAAGCTGGCTTGACTGAGGCGTGGAGACTTTCCCCTGCCCTTCTGCCCCTCAGAGATTCAACGGGGAAGGCCTAGGGCCCACTTCAGATCCAGAATAAGCCAAAATGGTGGGTGCCCTGCACTCAGCAGACATATACGAACAACAGCGAAGCTTCAGCCGTGAGGAGGGGGTGTGAAACACACTGAATACCCACCTAAAGCAGTCATTTCTCCAACAGTCACCAAGTTCCTGTCTGGCGTGCAAACTGGTCGGAAAATGTGTAACCATTGCTTGGAAATCACAAAATTAGTACTAAAAACAACGGTTGTCTCCCGCGGGTATACTGAGGCTCAGAAATTGTCTGGAAATTTTTCCTTTTAACACTGAGGGTTTTCTTAGTGATTTAGTGCTAGCAAATTGTCACACCTAGGTCAATTTCAGCCTCTTAACTCATGGCAGCCCGTTCTGTGGCACCCGCATATCCTGGCCTCTTTGTGTTCATCATCTCTTTCCATAGAAGCATTGCTGTTCATACAGAGGGTACTGCCCTGATGTTGTAAAGCTGGTTGCATTCTCTGGCGAATATTAGGATGTATGCTCAGAATAATAGCTCAGGGTCAAACAACATACCAGCTCCAGGTTCCTGAGGGCTCATGAGCAAGATAGCCTTAATGGAAGGCTATCTCCTCAACAGCAGTGGCACCTGCATATTGCTCCTCACCTCCTCATCACTGCTGTCTGCTTCCTTGACAAGCAGAGAAGCAGGAAGTAAGCAGGCCTCTGCATCTACTGCTCTTCCTTCTCACCCGGGCCAGAGCAAGACGTCGGTGAACAAACAGGTTGCAGTGGTGAAAACAAGGAGCAATTCCAGGGGTTTTTGTCAGTGGGCCATTTGGGACCTGGGCCATGAGCAGAGGCCCATCTAGGCCTACACTTCACACCAGCCCTGCATATGACATTGCATGCACGTGCACCAGCAGAGAGTTCCTTTCCCACTCAGAAGACAACAAGGAAGCAAAGGCATCCATCCCCCCTTAGCATCTGTTCTGGTCCTAACAATGATTTTGCCCTCAGTACTAGTTTCAAATATCATGAAAAAAAAAAAAAAAAACAGGAGGGACAGAATGTGCAGTTCACTTGCAGCTTCTGTTTTCCACATATGACAGGAAGTTAGTTCATCATACTTGCCATCTCCTTAGCTTCTTTGATGGTTGAAACATATCCAAGAAAAATGTCAGAGTTTAGCCTTGGTTTAATGCCTTAGACAAGCAAATAATGAGATGGTTCCATTTTTAAAGACTCCATGTGGACTCCTATGTGCAAATGTTTGCTTTGAAGGACTTTGCTTAGGAATATAGGCAGATGAGTCACCTGTCAGTAGTCTGGGAAATAGTCTGATATCGCAGACTGACTGGTGCCACCCTCAAAATCCTCTATCGGGCTTTTAGGGGGCACCTACCCACAAGGTAGTGCGGTCACAGCCACCCCGAATGCATTCAGTGGGCCTGACTTGTTCCACCGGGCAAGTCTCTCATTTCTCTATGGTAGTGTAAAAATATTTGCTCTTCATTGTTCGTTTTACCTGAGATGAACAGATCCCAATTCCCATTTTGTCCCAGGGGAGATGCTAACACACCAACGACTCTTGATTCAAGAGGTTTTTTTATTGAGAAACCAGCTGCAGCAGGGCGAAGCTTTGGCTAATGCCAAACAAGAGAGCTTCACACACACCCCTTCCTGTTCCCCAACAGCTTATATCCTCCAGTCTGTAAGGGGCATATAGTTCTAAATAGCCAATCCGTAAGCTGCACTTCCTAACATTTACTTCTTGCTGCTCTTACAACTTGACCTTGACCACACTATAACTTCAGTAAGCGTATTCAGGGAGTATACTTTCTTCAGCTCTAGAGCCATGACTAGCTGAATATACTTCTAAGCCGCATTTTTGTGCAACTCTAGCAGCATGGAACCTGTTTCAGTGCAAGGGCCAAACTTTGGAAAATCTTTGGCGGAGGGCACTGCATGGGTGGGTAGGGCCAAAGACAAAGAGGCAGAGTCACAAATTGGCATATTTTACTTAAAGCCACTGCCAGGAATTATGCCTTAGGAGAGGCAATTCAGCTTTTCATCGTGGTAGCAGGTGGGGAGGGCAAGAAATCCCAAAAAATCAACTGTCAGAGAAAGCAGAAGGGGGTGTGACTGTAAGGTCAGGTTTGGGCCTGTGATCAGCAGGTCCAGGAGTTAACAGCCACAGCTTAAGTCCTTTCTTTGCCTGCAGGAGATTCACATTCAGCTCCATCTAAAAGGGAACCGGGCAGCAAACGTGGAAGGCCCTTTCCTTCTCGGCCTGAACATGCTTTCTGTCTGTACGCATATTTTGGCTGAAGCAATGCAATACATTTCCTCTGCTAATAGTGGAAGATTATGCAATTTTAGAGCAGTGAGTCCAGGATTAAAGAAGGATAAGGTTGCTGTTTAATTACAAAAAATAAGCAAAGGGCTAAACGGCATGCTACAGTTAACCGTGTGGCACAGGTCCTCAAACTTTTTCAGCAGGGGGCCAGCTGAAAGCGGCCTGTACTGTGCGCAGGCCGGAAAGGTGGTGCCGGCGGTGCATGTGGGCTGGGGAGGGGCGCGGGGCGAGTCGCAGGCAGGCAGGCATGCACCGTGAGGTAGACGCACGAGGCAGTGGCTCGCTCGCTTGGAGATCATTTTCTCCAAGCGAGCAAACCGCTGCCTCTGGTGTGTGGGGTGAGGTGGGCGGCGGCAGGCGCATGTGTGGGCACACACGGCGGGTCCAAAAGGTCATGGCGGGCCGGATCCGTCCCCTGGGCCATAGTTTGAGGACCCATGGTGTAGCATATAGTGCATCCTAGCCATGATTTTTTAACCTTTGTGTAAGTAAGTGTGGGCCTGATGTGTATCTGGAGCACCACGTCCTAGTAAGGAAAATAAAACTTTCCCACCCAGTCACTTCCCCTTGTCACCAAATTTGCTCCCAACTGTGCTGATAGATCAGGACCTTTTCACACTTATAGCGGTACCTTGGCTCACAAACTTAATCTGTTCCATGACTCTGGTTGCGACCTGAATTGGTCACGAACCAAGTCAAATTTCCTCATAAGGTTCATTGTAAATAAGGTTAATCCATTCTGACCCCTAGGAATGTGGTCGCGATCCAATTTTGGTCATGAGCCAAGTCAAATGTCCCCATACGGTTCAGTGTAAATAAGGTTAAACCATTCTGTACATATTTTTTAAAACACAAAATTTTGAAACAATGTAACAAAGTACAATATAGTAGAGAACACTAACCTATGTTGGGGGGGGGAGTTATTGTTTGGAGGGAGAGTCCAAACGATCATCGTGCAATAGCGATCGTGCGTGTGGGGGGGGGAAGGAATCGTGCTCGTGCAGGGAAGACGGGCGTGATCGCAATCCTGCTCGGGGGGTGGGCACAATGGCCGCAGTCGCAATCATGCTTGGTGTGGGGGGGAGATGGCCGTAATCGTGTTCATGCAGGGTAAACGGGTGTGATAGCGTTCGTGCTCGGGGGGAGGAGATGCCCATGATTGTGCTTGTGCAGGAACATGGCCACGATCATGGTCATCGCCTGATGCGGAGTTCGTGAACGGACGCAAATTTTTTCTGAAATTTTTGTTTGTGAACCGATTGGTTGTGAACTAAGGCATTGGTGAACCGAAGTACCACTGCACACCGGAATTTCAAAAAAAGACAACGCTTTTGTTAAATGGGATGTAACTCTGTTGCCCGGAGGCAAGCAATTCTTGGAGCTGAAAAGCAATGAACACAATAGCATGGAAGGAAAGGGCGATTTATTTAGACAGAAATAAATACAGAAGCAGAGAAGGTGCTTGACGACCTTCAGCATGCCCCCTCTGCTCTTGGGAACCCCTAACAATCACAGCTGTACTCCTGTGGCCAGTTTGCCCAGTGATGTCTCGGAGCTGAGCTTCTACTAACAATTAAATTCTCTCTACTTACAAAGGTATAACACAAAGGTTACACCTGGTATTTAATTGTGGGTGAGAGTGGGCATGGATGGTAAAGTTCCTGTACAAGGTCAGTTACCCGATATGAATATCTGACACTTGTCATCCTCCCCAGTCTCATGTTGGTGCCAATTTATATTGATTCTTAAAGCAACACTCCCAAAATTGCAGAAGTTCAGCCTTTGCCTGATACTGGGCATAGGATGGAAGAACTGTGGGACACCACTGGCTTCTCACAATTATGATGGTCTTCCGCATGAATGCACTACATTAACCGGTTTTTAAAACATATAAATCTATTTTTCTGTTCTGTTTGGTTTAAAAATTTCTATTGCTAACTTTCATGATTTTTAATATGTTTTAATTGGTACATTTTATATTGTTTTTAAATACACTGTTGTGGACTGTTGAGAGAGCTTCAGATGTTGGGCAGTATAGGAGTTAAATTAATAAATAGATCACTTCAGTATAGTATCTAGATTAGTTCTCAAAGTTAGGCGATTAACCATTTTACCTGTGGATGGGCTGGAATGAATGTGACTTGCACAAGTGCCCCATCTCTAAGCAGCTCCCTGTTGAGAGAAGTGTAACGCTCGCATACACAGCCACTGCATCTTCACGGGCATCAGGGGAATGTGTAAAGTCGGGTTGGGCCTCCAGCAGCCTGGATTTGGCCCACGGTCAAGAGGCTCAACACCGCCGTACACTGCCTCGGCCTGGAGGGAGCCTGGTTGAAACGCAGACTTCCACAGTGTTTAGCCTTCATGATTTGGCTTCTGTCTTTCAGGGACGACCAGCCGGAGCGTGTTCATTCCTGCGTCGTGTCTGCTGGGCCGCTTTGCCCCTCCAGCTGCTCCTATTGTTCCTGCTGCTTCTCGCCTTCCTGCTGCCTCTAGTCAAGGAGACACACAGCTGCAAGCTTGCCAACAATTTTGCACACTCCTTCAACCTGATGTTGACATACAAGAGCCCACCCCCAACTTAAGTCCTCCACACAGGCAGGTGCAGTTAAGGGGACAGATTGAGTTATCCAAGTGGCTTTTCTCTGGGGTGTCTCCTTTCCTGCGGGTCCCCTCAAATCCGGGACAGCTAGCAAGGGACCCACATCAACTGGAAACTTGGTCCGTTGTATGCTCAGGCTATAGAAATGAAGTATTCATATTTAGAGCTAAAATTATATTTTTAAGTATATGACTATATTTATACTGTATATTTGAATTTTATACATATATGTATGTTTGTCTCAAGGAAAGATGAGTTGGAATCAGTGTTTTCAACCAAATCCTGCCATTTCCTTTTTGTCTGTGGTATTGTTGAATAATAGTATCAGTTTTCACCAACTGCTTGTTAAGCACAAAATAGGAAAGAAGGGATCGCTAGTTGTGATGGATCACAAGGTTACCATGAAAAATGGCAGCCATGTGTCAAGTTATCCCTCCTCTACCACTAAACAGGCAATTTTTAAAACTGCAGTTGCCATCTGATTGAATAAATCTTAGTTGATTATTGTACTAATTGATTAAGTAATTAGTGCAATGTGCCTCGTAATGTGCATTTGACTAAAAAATACCTAAGCTAAAGTCATTCTTCCTTTGTTTTTAGAGTAAAGTGTAGAACCTGTGGCCCTCCAGATGTGGCACCTCAACTCCCATCATCCCTGTCCATTGTTTATGCTGCTTTGAGCTGATGGAAGTTGCAGTCCAGCCACATCTGGAGAGCCCAGGCACCCAGCCCTAGTTTAGAGGAGGCACAATGTATTGTAACAGGCATGATCCTACTGCTTATATGTGTGAAAAGAGGGAATGCCTTTTAAAGACAGAGCTTGCCCTCTCTAATTTTCATAAAGAACTGCATGAAAAATGTCTTTTAATCTACTGCCCAACTTTGTAGTTGACTGAACTTTTTAATCGATTACTTCATCTAACTGATTAGTCAATTAAGCACTGCAATCCGACAAAAAAATTATATTATTGACAGTTGCATAAATTGCCTTTTATTAGAAGTGGAAGGAAACTTAACATGTGGTTGACATTTTTAGCAGTAGCCTTGAGTGTCTCCTATTGGCCCGTTCCACCCAAAGTGTGAGAAGGTAAAATATCATCTTGGAAAGCTAGTGATAGGGAATCTTTTAAAGAATGCAGAAGTAAATGGGATTGACTCATGCTTAGATAAACTCTAGCACAACCTACAAAACTGTTGGTGGGAGCTTCAGACAAGAGGGTGCATGGGGGACTTGGGTATGTGTGCAGTACAGCTTGGAGTGAAGTGAGAACTCTCATCCCAAACCCATCCTCACTCTGAGTTCAGGACCCGCAAAGTCTCCAGAAATAACTCTGTGTGTGTGTGGAAGACAGAAGCAGTGTACACATTTGTACTGGGCCAAAAAAAATTCTGCTGGCAGCCCCAACTTTATCTCATAGTAAATTCCTGATAGGCAAACTGACTAATTCCATTTTTCTTTATTTTTTGTTCTCCATCACATGCTTGACTAGAAATGTAAGAATGTGCTCCCACATCTGACCCTTCAGGGCCTTATGAAGGTGTGCTAACACCTGCTGAAATGTGTAGCTGTTTTTTTCTTTGTTCCTATGAAAGCATAGGAGGAGTCCCACTGGATCAGATGAAAGGTCCAACCGGTCCCACACAGTGTTCCCACAAGGGCCAGTCGGGTTTCCTAGTGGGAAGTCCGTAAGCACTTAATGAATACAATAGCACCCTTCAGTTGGTGTTCTTGAGCAACTGATACTCAGAAGCAAACTGCCCCTAATACTGAGTAAGATACATTCATCACGACTACTAGCCATAGATAGGCATCCTGTCCATGAATTAGTGAAATTTATGTGGATTCACCCTTAAGGGTATCCCCAGAATAATGTTAAATAAATAAAGGTACATGCTAGGCATATCTAAAAATGCCTAGGGTGGCACCCTAAATATCCAGACAGTCCCTTGTTAAAGCTGTTTGAGCTGGGCTAGCAATTTCTGTGGTTTAACTATGAGATCTGTGAACAAATAGTTCCCTATCTCATACCATTTAGTTTCACTAGATGCCCCGGCCTTCTTGTATTATGAGAGAAAGAAACTTTTGCCTGTCCATTTTCTCCACACCATGCCTAATTTGATAAGCCTTCATTGGGTCCCCTGTTAGTCGCCCCTCTTCTGAGCTCAAAGCCCCACACTTGGTGACCTTTCCTTGTAGGGGAATTGTTCCAGCCCTTTTGATTTTTGGATTCTCCTTTTCTACAACTTCTCCAGCTCTAAATAGGGCCTACACACTTGATGGCCCTAGAACAGGGGTCGGCAACCTTTAACACTCAAAGAGCCATTTGGACCCATTTCCCACACAAAAGAAAACACCAGGAGTCGCAAAACCCTTTTGACATCTAAAATGAAGATAACACTGCATATATCATTTTTTACCTTAATGCTATGTACATCTTCATTATGATTTAGCTGCAGCTCTTGTTCAATCACTAAAAACTGTTATTTTTAATCTTACATTATAAACTAGTAGGACTCCTTTCATATATTTTGAATAGAACAGCTTCCTACTGAGTCAAAGCCAGTGCTAAAGGGCTGCATCCATTATGCAGCAAACCCCATAGGTTTGTCAGCAGTAAAAGCAAACGAATCTACCCATGTATCATTAAACGTTTGGTTTTCTTTAGAAACTTTTCTTCGATTGATCCATGGTTGGCCTACCAGGGGTGGGGGGTGTCAGTAAATTGGCGCTGATCCGCAGATCGGAGGCTGTGCGAGAAATACAGGTGTGTTTAGTGACTGATTAGCAGATAAACAGTCAAATGCTGTGAACTGTGACAGGTCCCAAGCGCAGCTTTTATCATTCAGAGGAAGGAGATTACATTGGGACAAAGAGAATCTTTTCATTTCATTTCGTGTAACATGAGAGCCTGCAGGAAGCTTGTTCAGCAGAGGAATGTAGCGATTTACTTAACTAGCTAGCGCAGCTTTCCTGAGTGGAGCTTCGAGCAGATCAGCGGCTGTGCCGGCGTGTGTTTTGAGCGACGGAGCCGCAGCAGAGGGGTTCAAGAGCCGCATGCGGCTCCAGAGCCGCAGGTTGCTGACCCCTGCTCTAGACCCTCCATGGTTCCTCCTGCATCCTGAGGCTCACTGCCCTGAAATGCTTCGGGGTGTGGTTCTCTAGGAATGGCCAGCATGGTGGACATGGCTTCAGCAGGAAATCACAGTGCTATTTTATGGAAGGAATATAAGAAGGATGGGGACACTGCCCCCAAATGATGCAGTTCTGTTTGCGTGTGCTCTGACTATTGGGTCTTTGTGTAGGTAGAAAGGAAGAAAAACACTATTTATCACAAGTTTGAAAGAGAGAGATGCCCTTTTCCCTTAACAAGCAATTTCCAATCCCATGTATATCAAAGCAATACAAAAGTCATTTAGAGGGAAATTTGTGTGTAACCCTTACCCACTTACCACTTTCTTCTCCTCTCCCTGCTTCTTTTTGGGACATTCTCAGAGCCCAGCAATACACAAAAAATGGGTGGAAACAGGCTGAGGGAGACATTTTATATGAAAAGCGGCATTTGGCACAATGGGTTAAGTACCTTGCTTGCATGCACTGATTTTCCTTGGAAATATATACTTCTCCTTGTCAGCCATGTTAGGTCGACAACGAAAGCATGGAGATGGGAAGTCCGTGCTTGCCAAGATGATATTCATTTCTGTCATTAAACATTTGGAGATGTTTCAAATTTGGAAATGTTTACATTTGAAACATTTGGAGATGTTTCAAATGTAATCGAAAGAAGAGAAAGCTGATCATTTTTATGGCCTTTTTCTGCCCTTTGGGGATGTTAAAGTGTGATGTAGAAATCTGTTATGATTCTGTTTTGGGGGTGAAACTGACAGATTTTTCTGGTTCAGGCCTGAAGGATTTAGCTCCATCTCTCCTTCTTGGCATCAGCTCAATCTGTAGTGAGTTGATCCAATACTCAGACTCCATGGGGTTAATGGGTGCAATTTGCACAAATCAAGTCTGGGGGGAGGGGGGAGGGGGAGTTGAAATTTGTGCAAATGGAGTCATTTTTTACAAAACTTGACTATTGGATGTTCTTGTACAAGCACTCGTGATGGCAAGTTTGTCTCTCTTCTCTGTAGCTTCACAGAAGGCTATTCCCTTCTTGTAAAATATTCCTGCAAGTTTCACACTTCCCACACACTCCTTCCTTAACCTGGAAAACCCATATTCCCCCCTTGTCCATGTCATCCTGCGCTTCCTCACCTCCTGAGGGTTGTTTGTTTGTTGGGGGGAGTGGGGAGGTGGTATGGACAAGTGCATGGAGCCTGGGCTGAATGAAGAAGAGGTTAGGGGGCTGTCCACACCTTCCTGCTGTTTCAAACCCCAGGCAACCACTCCTTAAGGGCATCTATGATACAAAATGCTCAGAATAAGAATAATTAAGAAAGCTACTCTTGAATTGTCCAACCTGCACTTTAAACATAAAATTACAGGAAGCTTATTCTGAGTCAGGTCATTGGCCCATCCAGCCCAGTGCTGGAGACACTGACTGGCAGCAGTTCCTCGGACTCCTGCCTGAAGCCCCAGGGGATCAGACCCGGGTCACTCTGCATGCAAAGCATGTGCTCCGCCACTGGACTGTGGCCGCTGTGGTCAGGTCTTTCCAAGGCCAGGGCTCTGAACTGTGATGCTCAGGTGCTGCCTTCTCCCCCGCATCCTCCCTTCCTGCTGTGATTGCTTTCCCTCCCTTGCCTGCACTGAACTGGCTGCGTGTGAGTGGCCCCCTTGTATGGCTTCCTTCGTGCCAGCCAGCAAAGGGTTCTGCTGACCTCGATCGAGGGACCTTACTGTAGGAGGACGTCAGACTTGAGGGTGATTGTAGGAGGCAAAGAAGACATTCTTTCCATGCACAGGGGTCACGGCAAAGTAATGGCGATGGTGATTTGACGTTCCAGTGTTTCTCTCGTGATTTTGTTTTTTGTTTAAAGAAAGGAAGGAAGGAAGAAATGGGGGAAAGCTAAATTCAAAACAGATTTCTGCAGCTGGCGCTCCCTCTCCACTGCCCCCCTCTCAGCATCGAATTTATTCTCTGCTGAATGCCGCAGCATATTCAGGGTCTCAGGCATTGCCCTTTAAGCCTCCTCAAGTCAAGGAACAGAGGAGCCCTCAAAACCGCCCTCCCCCATTTGTGAATAGGCAGAGTGTCCGAGTCACTGTGCTCAGGAAGCTGCTCACAGGAGGGAGGGAAGGGACAAGCTCTCCTGCTGGTCTCTCATTCCAGCCCCACTGCTAGGAAGAACCACCCCTCAGCCACCCTTGTGCCCCCCCCCCCCCCCCGTGGTTTGCACTAACCCTGCTCTGTGTTAGTGGAAAGCAGTCTGCTGGCCGGAGGTGCCCTTAGAGCAACGGTGGAGTCGGAGGAGCAGAGCAAGAGAGGGTCTTCTCCTTCCGGGGAAATGTCCACGGCTGACAGGACCCCCCTTCCTCTGAGCTGTTTCCCTCCCTCATCCCACCCAAGCATCCTGTCAGCTGCGTGAGGTGCTTTCGCCCTCTCAGGGTTGTGGTGGGGAGGCAATGGGCAAAGGGGAGCTGGCCTTGGAGTCTGTGCATCCTCAGCAGCACATGCCCCAAGCCCAGTTTCCCTCACACAAAGGATGCTTTAAGTCAGGGGAGGAGCCCTCCATTCCAGAGAAGCTCTTGGGGGCTGCACTGCAGGGGTGGGGCGGATGGGAACAGACGGAAGCAGGAGCCCGAATGGCAGGCATACAAGCAAAGTGTAGCAGCAGCCTTTCAACCTTGCAGAAAGGGGGGCAGCCATTGCACAAAAGTCATGGGGCCAGCAAACAATTGGTGACTGGGGGAAAGGAAGGGAATGTGGCCATTTGGGGAACTCTGGAGAACTGACTGAAATCCTAAGGGAATTCAACTCGGCCTCTGGCCTGAGGTTCTGCACCCCTGAATTAAGTTGTGGAAAATAATGTCTTTTCATGACTTCAAGGAAAACAGAAGCAAGGAGGAGTTGGTCCAATTTCTCCCTCTTCACCCATGACCTTTTAAGAAATCTCTGTTTTTAATATGTGCACCTGCCTGTTTGTGTGTGCATGCATATTTTTAATTTTTGGAAGGTAACCTTCATATAATAGAGGGTTCAAGGTTCTCCCATAAATGCAACTGAGTAATTGACCTTGGAAAGACAGTGAATTGCCCATCCTGGAGAAATGTTTTTGGTTCCCGCTAAGCAACATGGCCCTGTTGTGTGGCCATGGGCTGCCAAGGCAACCTTTACTCCCCAGTGAAGAAAGCCCTGTGTGGATTCTTCCCCTTGCATGTAGCTGTGTCTTCAAGGAAGTGAAGTGTGATTTTGTTGTCATTGTTTTCTTAAACATTTATAGGTGGATCATGTTAGGAAAAGTGCACACCCAGCCTGATGGTTTACAGTCTGAAAG